CCCCGCTGTCCCCCGCCGTCCCCCGCTGTCCCCGGGTGATGCCCCGTGGGGATGAGGCTCCGTGGGCGCGGTGCCGTTCCGGGGTGACATTCCATGGGAGAAGGGCTCCGTGGGGACAGTGTCCCGTGGAGGTGACTTTCCACGGGCTGATGCTCTATGGGACGATGCTTTAAGGGGTGATGCCATTGCAGTTTTGGGGTGATGCCGCAGGGGATGATTCTCTGTGGGTTCGCTGCTCCATGGGGCCATGGGTGACCCCAGGCAGGAGCTCGGGGGCGCTGGGTCCTGCTGGGGGGACAGACCCCAGCTCTGGGCTGAGGCAGACACGGGTGGGTGTGTGAGTGTGTCCTGAGGGGGCACAAGGATCCAACCCTGCCAAGCGCTCACAGTCCTGCGGGACAGGGACAGCTCTGGCCCCGGGAATGGGTGCCCTGGGGCTGTGAGTGACACACGGGCCTGGGCTGGGGAGGGAATGCTGAAAATAAGTAACACACAACTAAACTAAATGAAAATATAACCTAATACAACGTGATGTAATAATATCAATATCATATCATATCATATCATATCTCATATCATATCATATCATATCTCATATCGTATATGCAAAAATATAAATACAAATATGAAATATACAAAAATATAAAACATAAGATATAAAATAAAATTAACACTCCCTGCTGACAGCCAGGCAGAGGAAGGGATGAGAGGGGACAGGGACACCTCTGGGACTGAAGGGGCCGATTTGGGCACTGGCTGAAGGCACTCAGTGGCTGTGTCCTGCCCCCAACCCCAGAGAGCCAGCACTTGTCACTCCACAAGGGTTTGGCCATTTAACCAAAGTTTTGAGAGGTATTTTCATCTGCCCCCTGGCTCCTGTGGGTGGCTGGGCATGTGCTCCCTTGCTGCCCTGGGGTTTGGATCTGGGAATGCAGAGAGAGCTGAACCTTCAGCTGCAGGTGTAGGGAGAGATGATTGATACAGCTGGAATCGATAGATGTAGGGGTATGTGTGGGTATAAGCATTGCTGATATGGGTTCTACAGATCTAGAGATCATATAGATAAATTGGAGATGAAATTGATATGGATATGATAGCTACAGAGATAGAAATTACAGTGAGAGATTATATAAATATATATAGATAATATAGACACTGATGAAGATTATATAGATTAGATATATAACATAAATGACATACAGGTATATCTATAGATACAGATTATGAAGATACAGAAAATTTAGATAAGGATGATCTAGATACAGAAATAGGTAATGTAGATATGGGTATAAAAATGACATATATATGGATATAGATGTAGATGCAGATAGATACTGCTACAAGTACATATATACAGATAAAGATATAGGTATACAGATATAGAGATATAGACATAGATTGATGCAGATACAGACATAGATATGGATATACAGATACAGATACAGATATAGACACAGATTGATACAGATACAGACATAGATATGGATATACAGATATAGACATAGATTGATGCAGATACAGACATAGATATGGATATACAGATACAGATACAGATATAGACATAGATTGATACAGATACAGATATAGATATGGATATACAGATATAGACACAGATTGATGCAGATACAGACATAGATATGGAAGGGCTTTGTCAGAGGCCCAGAAGAGGGAATCCCACATCCCCTTCCAGACTAAGGGATTTAAGGGCCAAACCAGTAGGTATCCAGGTAGTCCAATTTAATGCTGAATAAAGGAATGAAAAAGTATTTAGGCTCCATCCTACATAATTGTGTGACTTCCCAGTATCCACTTCAATGCCAGAGTCCACTTGGATACCAGAATCCGATTTCCACTTCCCAGAATCCACATGGATTTGCAAATGTGGCCAAAACTGTGCTGAGCTGTCCCTTTGTCCCTTCTGTTCTGACCTGCCCTTTCTGCCAGGTGTAGCCAGGGGTTCACATATTGGTGCAAAAGCCAATGTTTTGGGGGAAAATAGATCATATCTGTAGGAATTTCCTGCTTTAATGGGAAGTAAGTCCAAGTGTTAATTAATTATCCCGTGCTGCCATGAGCTTGTAGAGTCAAAGTGCCATTTCTAGTCTGCTATGAGGAGTTGGGTCCGTGGGGTTGCTGATATAAAACATATAAAATTTGGGTTTTACCTGGGCTGACACCCACTCCCAGATAAAGACACACTCCAAACAAAGTGAATTCTAGCTTTGCTGAATAATGTTCTCATTTTTAATGCTGTTTTTTCCCCAAAATAACCACACATCCCCAGATCCACAAACCAAAAGCTTTTCCCAGTCCCCCTCTCGGGATGGCCTGAGGGTACCCAGTCTGTGTGTCATTTTTTTATGAGCCTCATTAGGTGATTCTCAGCAAAAAGGTGTCTTGCCCAAGGACATTTGTTCATCTCCAGCCCTTTTTCATAATCAGTGGGGAAAGAGACAGCTATTTAACTGCAGTGAGCGGGGAGCCCCATTTCTCTGTGTCCACTGTCCCCAAAAAATGAGGTTTTTCAGCCTTTATGGTTAAGGAAGCTCCTGGCCCGGGGGTGCTGTTGGCTCCTCCAGGTGGGGAGGGACGTGCCCCCCTCCACAGGGATGTTGTGCTGTGGGAGGGGCCCCCGGGGTGTGTTTGGGGATGTTGGTGGGGTTTGGGGCTGAGGAAATGAAACACGGTTGCTCTGGGCTCCTGCAGGCAGCCAGCGAGTGCAGGTCCGGCAGCTCCTCCTGCAGCCCCGCCTGGAGCAGCCAGCTGGAGTTCAGCACCAACCCTTCAGGTAAGGCCATCCTCACCCCCTGGGCACCGCTGGGCTCTGCAGGGAGGGGAACAGCAGGGACCCCGCAGCCCTGGAGCAGAGAGGAGATGCCTGGAGCAAAAGACAGAAGCAATCTTGTCCTGCTCTCCCCATCTCACTGCTGCAGAGTGATCAGCTCAGGAATCCTACAGCACCTCCTTGGCTCAATGCTCAGCAGCTCAGGGTTCTCCCAGCCCTGATTTCACCAACCCTTGGGAGCTGAGGAATTGGGCTACAGAAGCCTGGGCCCTGGTGCCTCCATCCCCAGCAAGGGTTTCATCTGCTGCCATCCCTTGGCTTTGCTGTGTTGCTGGGCATGGCTGGGCAACGCTGCCCCAGACCTTCTTCTCTCCCTGCACCCCCTCAGCAGCTGCTGCTCTTTTTTTCCATGCTTGCCATTATCCCCACCCTGCCAAATCCACCTGTTATTTCCTCCAGAAGGCAGAAACTTAAATCTCATTTTCCAGTGGAGATTAAAAACTATTCAGGGTCCAAAAGTTCCAGAAGTTTTTGCTCTCTCATCGTTCTCCAGGGTGGGGGCTGGCAGCAGGTTCCTAGGTCACTCTGGCCGTGTGGGGGATTATGGCAAACATAGGAAAAAAATCAGCAAATTGTTAAGGGTGCAAAAGATCATCATGTCCAACCCTCAGCCACGTTCACCACTAACCTACACCCCCCTGAGCAGAACCAGGAGCTATCTCCAGCACACAGTCCCTGTTCCCAGCAGTGTCCTCACCCTCCTGTCTCCCCAGATCCCATTCCCTTCAGTGTCCTCACCCTCCTGTCTCCCCAGATCCCATTCCCAGCAGTGTCCTCACCCTCCTGTCTCCCCAGATCACCTCCTGGCTGAAGAGGCAGCTGAGGAGCGCAACCTCCACTCGCTGTCTTCCATCGTGGAGAGCATTGCCGTGGGGGACGTGGCCGTGACGTTTCTGGAGGAGCAGGGTCAGAACTGAGCTGGTGCAAACCCCAGCAGCTCCTCGGGAGAATAACGGGGTGGGAATGAGGTGCCAGAAGGGTCCAAGAGCTGGAAATCACATCCACCCCTCCAGTGCCATGGGCTGCCCAGCTGACACCACCGGCTCCCTTCCCACTCCCTGCGGAGCGCTCCTGCCGGGCAGGGCTGGGATGGGGCAGCGGCCGAAGGGCCTGGAGGGGCTCCCTGGGGCCAGGCCCTGCTCTGCTGCCTGGCCAGGGCCGGGTGGCTTTGGGGCCAATGTGTGTGCTGGGTTGGCTTTGCTGAGTTTTCCAGATCTCCCTGACCAAGGTGTCTCTCCGGCCGGTGTCCGGTGCTGCTGACCCCAAGCCCGCCTGTCTTTTCTACTGAACGCTGTGTGTGGTTACCATTTAGGGTTTTTTAATGATTATTTTTGCTAACTTATTTGGATTCTTTTTTAAATAAAGGCATTCTTGTTTGGACAGCTTGGGGTCTCTGTTACTGTTGTCCTGCCCTGTGCAGGTCTCCCCAGTTCCACAATCCCCAAACCCAGGTTGGAGATTTTTATATCAGTAAATCCAGCTGGACCTCAGCACAGGATGTGCCACACTTCAATCAGCCCTACACAGACCAGTGATTTCACTGCTGTTTAACTGGAGTTCAGCCTTGTGCACCAAAGGTCTTGCAGGAGCTACAGATTAATGATATTTTTAATTTGGGCTCTACAAAGAAGGCTCAAAGCCAGCAGTGTTTTAAAATCCTGTTTATTGGAACACACATACATCCTTTCCTGACCCGATCCAGGGTTTGGAGTCCATGCAGTACCAATAATATGATGAAAGAAATAGGGCATCAATATAAAGGGCTCACTGACTCTTCAAATTAAAAAAATATTTAATACTGTATTAGGCAAATGATACACCGAAAAGACGTTGTGACTGTAGAGTCTCTCAGATATTGCACTTCCAGACAGCACATGATAAGTATAAGGTCATTCCAGCCATCAATAAATATCACATCAGAAATAAGGGCCACACAAGGCAAACGTGGCATGAGGAGACAAAGAGATCCTACCCTACGGGGGAGAAATGGGAAGAGTGAAGAGCCTCCTTGAGTGACCCCTGCCAGGGGGCAGGAGGGGAGAGCATCTCCTCTGTACCCAAGGGAAAGGGTGGGCACGTCCCGGGGCTGGGGGGCTCCCGTTGTATCCCCAGGCACCCAAGGAGGGTCCCCTCTCCCGTGGGTGCTGGGCACGGTCCCTGTGAGCCGTGAGGGGCGGTCCCAGGCACAGCCCCCCTGAACAGGGCACCTGACAGCACCAAAATCAGCACCTTGCCTGCCAGCCCTGGGCAGCCACTGCCCTCCTCAGCTTGTGCTGGGCCCCCTTCGTCCCACCCAGCACCAGCCCTGCCCCATCCCCCTTGGGGGCAGCTCCTTGCCCGGCCTCCCTGCAGGGAGGGTTTTCATGAGCCTGAATCTTCCTTGGCTTTCAGTCCCGTGGGCAGCAGCATCCCTGATGCTCAGGGCTCAGGCGAGTCCGTGCAGCCCTGTGGCAGATTGGCAACATGAACCAGGCAGAAGAGAGGCTTCCAGACATGGCAGACACTTTGGGGTGTCTGTGCTGCTCCCCAGATTGCAGCACACCAGGACAGCATCCATGGCACACCAGGAGCGCATCCATGGCCCAGCCAGCGCGGGGAGAAGCGGGGGACAGCCCACGGGGGGAGCCACGGGAGCCGGGAGAAGCAGGGAGTGCACGAGCAGGAGGGGCAGGTCCTGTCGGTCCTCAGCACTGACAGTCTGTGGGTCTGGGACGAGGAACAGGCACAGGCTGGGCTCTCATCCTGGAAGGCAGCCAGCACGTGGCATATGGACATGGGGATTTGCTGAGGAGCAAAGTGGGAAAGGCCCTGTGAGGATGCTGGCTCAGCTCCACCCCTGCACCCACCGGCCAACAAACCCAGATGGGATCAGCCCTGGATCCTCCTGGCCAAGGGTTACCGTGGCCCAGGGCACAGGAGGATCCCAGGAGCCTCCCTGAAGTGCTTGACTATCCTTCCCTCACCCAAGTGGAACCCTCATGGATGGCATCCTGGGGTCCCCAGTGGAGTCACCCATCCAAGAGTGGACAGATGTGGTGGGATGCTGAGCATCCCTCCTGCCTCGTCTCTGTGAGCCTCAGGCAGCAGCAGCAGCTCCCCCACACTGAGGTCTCCCTCGCCCTCCATGGCCAGGCAATCCCTGGTGAGGGTAGCCCCTTGCCTGGGTGCTGCTGGGGCTCCTGCTCTGCCCTGGGTCCCCAGCCAGCTCCAGGCACTCACCCAGGGCCTGGCTCCCATCTCGCTGACCCTCAGCACGAGTACGTCCGGACCGTGGAGGTCTCCAGCCTTGGGGACCCGGAGGCACCGACTGGGAAGGAACAAAGAGCAAAGCAATTAGTGACTGCTCCATTTAGCCCCCAGCTTCCCCAAATCCTGTGTTTATTGAGCAGCATCTGTGCACTGCAGCCACGTGAAGATGAGGGTCAGAGAAAGCCACATCTGGCCAGCTTGGATGTGCCTGAGGCTCCGGAGTATTTGGGAAATTGCCACTTGTCATCCCTGCTCCTGGGCAGCGAGCACCCTGCTCCCCCTGTGCGTGGGATTCTGTCCCAGGTTACACTCTCCTCAGCCAGGTGGGAACTGCAGCTTCCAGGGATGGGGTGGAAAAGGTCAAACAGAATCTTGACCCAAACTGCTGGATGGAAAGCTGGGACATTTGAGCAAAACTGGAGGCAGGAGAAGAGCTGAGCCTGAGGTTTGGAGTTGGAAGATGAGTGCAGAACTTTTTAATTCTCATTCCCACCCTCATTTCTGAGTCTGCTGAAGCCAGCTTTGCTCCAGTGGGGAGCCTTGGGATAGTGGGACCAGGGTGCCTGGTCCAGGGGACAAACTGGGGTGACCTGGCTGGAGTTTCTGCCTCCCTACAGCTTTGGAATGGACACCTTGAAGAAAGGAGCTGTGTCATGAGGGCAGATCCTGGGCCATAAAACAGGACAGGCAGCAGCACAGGGAGCCAGGGTGTCCCAGCAGGTCCTGCCAGCCCTGGGAGAGCTCAGGCAAATGAAGCCAGTTAATACATCCCTTAGGGGGTGGTTCCCAAAGGGCAGAATGGAGAAAATTGCCCATGGCTCCTGCATCCTGGCAGCCCCTGGGTGACATACCCCATTTCATGCCCCAATCCTGGCCCCTCGTTTGTCTTTGTAGCACATAACAAGAAATCACACACAGGTCTGAAGCAATCCTTCCAGAAAAAATGTTTCCAGCAGGCCACAGCTCCAGGATCACATGGATTGAGCATCCTGGGTGACCAGCAAGCCTGCC